TGATGTTTCAATTTTAAAAATATTTTAACGAACTGAATGTTCGGGCCAGCTGTCACGATAGCCATCTATTTGGTACATTTGGATTTTCTGAAATTGAATGTCATTTATTTAGTATTATGAAAAACATTTAAATCTAGGGGAATTTATTTGTTCACGAATATATATTATTCGATGGTACATATACTATGCATATTTTACGAATAATGCATTGAGTATACGCAAAATATACGCAATATTCACAGTGTTTTGATTGAGATAAAAACCCCTAGATTTAAATAGAATAAATCTTTTCAGCTACATTCAATAAAAAGACACCAAAATAATACCCCAAATAAAGAGATATTTACATGTCGGCTCGACTGAATAGTCAGTTCGTACTTATATCTTATCTTTTGCATGATAACAGAAGCAAAATCATTTTCAAAGACTGTCGTATATTTTTTTGTTCTGTAATTTGTAAGAACTTCTGTTGTTACAAAATATTATTAGCTTTTAATAACTAATTCAATTATTTTTAATTGCATGTCTCAAAATTTACTAGCATCAGCAGTAAGACCAGATTTACGAATAATATTTGATTAAAATGTGCGTTATCCATCGATTTACCAAGAAGTCAATACAATAGCGAAAAATCGAAAATCACATCGCCGAAACAACAGATATACCAATAAAAATCATTCAATTAAGAAATAATAATTGATAACATACCAATAAAGTTGCAAAAATAAATATCTTTAATCGATTTTCTAGACACAGATAATGGAAGATTTTATTCACTTGTTCCGCTCTTCTCCTGTATAGCTTTATTCGTTTTCTATTCGTAAACTTTTTCGTTTGTTACATTTGAGATACTCTTGGCTACGAACGTTCGTTCGTTCGTTTGTAGGCAATAGAAATAACATTTTTGTTCGTTCGTTCGTAGGAATTGAAATTAATTTTCTTTGTTCGTTCGTTCGTTCGTAGAAATCGGAAAAACAAATTTGTTCGTTCGTTCGTTTGTAGATTCTGAAAATTTTTATTTCTATTGCCTACGAACGAACGAACGAGTGTTCGTAGATGTTCGCAGCCAACACTAATTTGAGATGAAAAAATATTTGGGAAAATCACCTTTTTTAGCGATTATTTTTACACCCACTCATACACTCATATACGCAGCAGACATCACGCAAATTGTTGCTCACTCGAACAAAATCTAGCTGAAGTAACTACCTACGCATCAATTAGATTCAACATAAAGCATGTGCTGCAATTTTTCTTATTATATAATTGAAGACAAAAACAAGTGCCAGTAACACTGTTGCAGTTATCAATGAAACCATAGCAATTTCAATCCAGATTTCAATCAAACGTAAATGAGTATGCTTACTCATATTGAACACACTTGACTATCTGAATTTATGATGGAAATTTTTATCGAAAAAAAAACCAAGAAATTGAGGGAAACATAGAAAAGACAATACACGCTCGACACGCTGCGCCTACTGCTCACTACATTAGTACTAATAAGTATTTACATGTTATCGAAACTTAATGAATCACGGATCACAGTGACTTGGCTGAAACATACATTAGTTCTAGATAGATATTTATTAATGCTATTGATATTATCAATAGAAAATTGCGCCTACTTAACGCATCGGACGTATGCTGTCATTGTTTGAAATGATTTTAAATGTTTATATTCATGGTTGCGATATTTTTTGTTTTTTTTTTCTTTGACACAATGACACCATTGTTATGTCCAGTATACACAGCATCCGAGAGCAAAGATAGGCGCTATTTTTTATTGATATATTGGGCAGTTATAAATATCTATCTAGAACTAATGTATGGACTGAAATGAATTAACAGTGCAAATGAAAAATATTACAAATCGATCAATAGATGTCACTAAAAGGGTTTTTAACATTCTCTGAGTGTAAGAACATACAATTTTGATGGAATTTTATATGGTCTATAAGGACACAATGGACAACTATCTCCCCGTGAGAATCCTTTGACTGGAAATTAGTCGAACATTCGCAAATATTTATACATTAAATGTTTTTTTTTATTCATATTTGGCACTAAATATGCAAGCATACCAAAGATACCCGAAAACAAATTGCAAAGAAGAGAGAAAAGGGGAAAATAAACCTAAATAATAATTCTCTAAGTTTTGTAAACAATGCTGTACGTTATTTGATGTTGATTCAACATTATTGAAAGCCACACTAATTAAAAAAGCCACAAAGTTTCAATATTTTCATATAAATTGTCTAATGGATGCACACTACAGCAACCGGTGATGGGTTATACGGGCATACATGCCCATCGAATGTGTTAAATAAAACGGCACGATGTCAACTGGTGCGATTGTAATAGTTTATTATTTTCTCATCTTTCAAAAACCGATTCAATGCGTTCTCCATATTTTTACTCTCTTCATTTCATACTCTTTCTCATCGCTAGATTTAAATCGGATTTTGTTTGTACATATTTATTACTAAATGAGATTTCTTTAGCATGAAATGGATACATGGATCAAATCTGATTGTATACTTGAATGGTAAGTATTATTTGAAAAATTTATTCTAGTTGATTGAATGAAATCCGACCCACGCAATGGCCTTTTATCGTAAACAAAAAAAAATGAACAACAAAAAAATCGTTGCATACATTCAAAACGTCCATCAATTTCAAATTGGTTTACGCATTGAAAATTGCAAAGTTCAGCGAAATGTCAGTCAAACTATCTCAATTCTGTGCTAACTTTATTTCAAAGTGAGAAAAAAACATGTTGCGTACAGTTTTTTGCCCTTTTACTGGCATTCTGATTACTATCTCAATGTTTCGATATTCATGATTTGTATTGACTTAAGAACATCGAAGAGAGAAAAAACCAAGCAAATCCACGCCAACCGAAAAGAAAGAAAAATGAAGTGAAAACGCGCCTCGGGTGTGATATGTTTTGTCGCGCAACGATTATGTCCTAATTCAATTGAAGTAAATTGGATTTTTTTAGTCCAATGCACAAAAGCAAAAAAAAAGCTTTTATTCAGAAATATTTCTTATTTTGAGAGAAGAATAAATATAACGATATCCATAAGTATATGTTGAAACAGCTTTTAATAATGAATGAAACGAAATCGAACAGCTGCTTGTTCACACAGGATTTCTCTGGTTTCGCTATTGCGTTTAATATTGTACATGTCGATCAAAATGTGCATGGGGCGAACCACGCTAGTGAATACTAGAAAAACTAGTAAATCTAGTGCGAAGACTGAAGTCACACACTACTGAGAGCCAACTTCACGTACTAGAATTTTCTAGTTTTCTAGTGAAATCTTATCAAAATCTAGATGCACTAGAGTTTCGTGATTGACCCCATGAAAATGTGCTACTTGTTACTAACAGCAACAACAATTTGACAAATCGAAGGAGCATAACAATGTTTCTGTATTACAATATAATATTGAAATTTAATACTGCCCGTAGAGTGGAAACCGAAAGAAAGCATACATTAAGTGGCAAAATAACGAAATCATATAGCTTTTACACTGTACTTTTTCTTGTTTCCTCTTCACTCACCATAATGAGATTTCAAATGAATTTTATACGTTTTTATATACGGCATATTGGACATTATAAAAACAAAGACAAGATATACTACCACCGGGAATGAAATACTTTTTTTTTGTCTAAATCAAACATTCAACAAGGTTTTCCATCATAATAAAGCGCACAGAACTTGGATATGTGTTTCTATCGTGCAATATTTTGATATGTGTTATGTGTTCATTTAGATAGAATTCGTTTATGTTCTAATGAAGATAATTGTGATTGGCGATGTGGAAATCTTTCATCTTTTTTGTTCTTTTTCTTTGTCATCGATTCACTATAGTTTAATATTTCGTATTTTTGTAATAATTTGTTATTATTTTTGTTTATGGCACTATTTACAATATTGCAAATTGCAGTAGGGGAAAAAAAGAAGTAAGTTGTCACCGTTATGTAAGTATGAAAATCTGCATATTTATTCATTTCACCGTCTGATCACAGATTGAATATATCACAATTATTTTATTAATATCAATTGCAATGCAACACTAGCCGATCAAATATCTTATGTTAAGTGGCAGCCATATCGAAAAGTGTCGGAACAAAAAAGTCCTTGTTTTTTTAGGTACTTTGATCCCAGGAAGTTTCGAAAAGACCAGAATGAAATTTTCAACATTAAGTGTTTTTTTTTAACATTAAGATAATTATGTAATCGCTTTTTATCCATTAATTTGATGAGCATGTAATGCTAATGTCACGAATCGAATCAACGGATATTGTTGCTTACGACGGTGATGGATATGCCAATGTTAAAAGCGCCAACGATAGACAAATCACGAAGATCGTCGGCTTTCATAGCCGAAATTGACATGCAGCTGTGCCGATTGCCAAAATGTTATGGACAATTTCGTTTAGAACATTAAAACATCTCTCAATTCTTGTATAATTTGAATCCACACATCAATGAAAAGCCCACACAGTGTCGGTGCGAGTGTTAATACATACATGAATTTAATTAATTTGGTTTTCAATTTCTTACGAAGAGTTTCCGTAAAAATCCATGAGAAACAGCACATATCAAAAATCTAATAATTATATTTGAATTACAGAAAAGCATATACCACATCAATTCCAAATGCGCATAAAATACACGTGCTTCCAATCAAAAATAATGACGAACCTCTTCAATTTTATCTTCTTTTTTTTATTTTTTATATGCTTATCCATACATTTTGTATATCTCATCATCGCTTGGAGATGATTCAAAAATAATTTAATTTTGTGTTTTCTCAACATGTTTCATGTTTTTGCTTGGAATGTTTTCACATGAAGAAAAATTATACTATGATGAGGAAGAAGGGCTTTATGAAAATTCATATCTTTTCAACTTGAAAATTGTGCGGAAAGGTATGCCACGTAACGTGGGTTGCATACATGAAAAAAATTAAAATTTAAAAAAATCCTGATTAAAAAAATAAGTGAGAAACTCGACATCAATTTATTTGATTTATGTAGATTTCCATGCCAAGAAATTAAGAGCTGGAATTGAACTACATGGAACCGGTGCATTTCTATAATCAAAATAAGAAAATAAAACAAAACCGATTAGGTTTAGATTATGGAGCCATTTTATGGATATAAATCTGTCTTACCCAGGAACATTAGTTTGAATGAATCCTTTTGGTGATTGCACTTGAATATTATCAGAATTATCGCATATCAAACGTGCAACGGATGCTTTCTTAATTTCCTTCAATTGTTCTGGTGTAAAGGCGCCTGGGTTAACTTCTGGCGAATGTTCGTAGAAATACCGGTCACCTTGACGGAATTTCGAAAATTGATCGGCAAGAATGTCACCGAATGTTGAGCCTGTGTGATGGAGAATGGCCACACTTATTAGTAACAACAAATCGATGGAGCGCAATAATGTGCTCTTTAATACAAAATTGAAATAAAAGTCGTTTGTCAAGTATACACTTACCAACAAGACCATCACCACGAGCAGATTCCAATAGCCCACCTACCCATAAGTCTATGTCATCGGGACTTTGGTAAACTGAAGCCAACTTTTCACCCAGCTAACAACAACCGAAATATATTCTATGAAATATTCAATTTCTTTTTTTTTAAATGTTACAAAATGGAATTACCTCCGGTCCGAATTCATCAAAGCTAAGTATTCTGCGATGACCAGTCACTTCAACATATTCATTGTATGAACGAACACCATGATCTCTGCCTCGTTGAATGTTTATGGCTGCCAAATCTAAGCCGAATGGATTCGACCCAGCGAAAAGGAATCTGCTCAACTGCTCAAAAATAAAATATCATGAAGTCCAATGAATTATTAGCATGAAGAAAAATGATGCCCACCCCTTGTGTAACCACTGAATCGACCGCCTGCATGGGCTGACGTCCGAGTGTAGACAAAATATCATCATAAAAGTTGCGCTGTCGCAAGCGATTTGTGTTGAAAAATACCTCCGGAATTTGTATAACTTCAGTTTGTCCATTACCTCTTTCAATGCTGAAAGGAAGAAAAACAGGATTTTTTTAGTAAAATAAGTTCAATATAAATTCATCATTCATATTGACTCTATATACAAAGAAAAACTTACAAAAATCGTCCGTCAACAGTTGAATGGCCAAAGCGTTGAGCAGCCGTTGAAAATTCCGAAGTGATGCATGCATTCACATCCGGATTGTAATCGTCCGAATATCCACTTTCACGTATTCCCAAACTGAAACGTTGGAGTGTTTCCGTTCCAATAACCAGCGGTAGCCATTCATTATACGTAATGTGTTGGAATTCGGCTTCTACGACTCGTTTTGTTTCAAGAAATATTACATCGTCCGACCATCGTGGATTCAAACTGCTTAAAATATCAGCTATACGATTATGCTCTCGTGCAAATAAAATATGCAATGCCATCAGCGAAATAATTTGACTCGCCCGACCGTCACCTATTCAATAATTCAACAAGGAAAATAATAAAAGAAGAAGAAAAGAAATGAGAACTACGAAGATTATGGATGCTAGTGGTGGTGGTTGTACTGATGATTCGCATGTTACGATGCCAATCGAAGCGTATAATTTGAAGTATGATTATTATGTATGATATTGTGTTTACCGGCAAAAAAGCATGGACCTTTATCTAAACTGACACAGGTATTCTTATCAAGCGTTAAAGGTAACAGCTGTCTACCAAAATCATCAAGCATACGAAGTCGACCACCCTGAAAACTTCGCACATCAGACAAAGTCTTCTCGTCTGTACCATAAACAGCCGAAGCATCGATAAAGTGGGTCACTTTGCTAATCTAAAAAAGAGACACACACACACAGTAAATTACTTGTATGAAATGCATTTTAATTACTGATTTGTCATCAGCTGGGTAATCGGAAATATTAAAATAATAATGAAAATACAGGCGTATTTAGTACGCAAAACACATCACAAGTTCAGCGCCCCGTCTAGACTATTCGGGCGGTATAAAAATAGCATTTACCAATCGATGCCAGTTTTCATATCGCTTAAATAGTACCAACAGACTTCTTTCCGCTTTTTTTTCTTCTTCAGCTTGTTGATGGTTTCATTCGATTTAAAATGTTCACGTATATATCGTTGTACTTTTCATTGTTAGCCGATGTATTTATAATAAGAATTTTCTCTATTCGAGAGACAAATCAAGTATATTATTTATTGAAAAGAGAAAATTCTAATTATTTTTTATAATCACCAAAGATAAATATAATTTAAATAAAAACAATTAATGCAAGTTGACCATCGATTTTTGTTTACTGCACAGTAAACTACGATTCTTAAGTTCATAGGAAAAAATTGAAAATATCTTCCAAAAGGTGCCAAAACATGTATTTATAATAAATATTTTGGTTATTAATCACACATATGGAATTTCTTTCTTTCTCACATTTTCTTTTTGTAATAACAACGTTTACCTGTTTTCCATAAGTTAATTGACATTGGCCATCTGGAGCAAGTGCCGAGCGAACAAAATTCATGCATCCTTGTTCGAATTGACTGTAGAACTCATCGTCGGGCTTAAGTATAATTGGCAAACAGGCAAAGTGTAATGATTCACGGGGCAAAACATGACGTCCATCTTTCGAGCAACATCGAATTGCCGAACCTTCATCTGTTGTCAATCGATAAAAATGGGTTAAATCTGATTATTTGAAAAAAGGGACCCCCCTTTTGGAGAACCAAAAAAAACTGAAAAATAGCATACGCGTTCTAATCGAAGCTGATTGGGATACATCATGCGTAATAAACTGTCCAAATTGCATAAATAGCAAATTGATGGTGGGATGTGGTCGATCCACATCTTTAATCAATTGCTGGGATATGGTTCTTGCATTTGGTAAAGGTGCTCCCGTCACAGATGTTAATCTTTATGAAAGTAAAAAGCATTTTTCGATGAGCAAACAACCAACTGTAATTCTATATAAAGAAAAAAAAAAGTCTTTACCTTGGTCGCCATATACCATCTTCGTAACTAGGTGGCAACAGACGTTCCATTGGTGAACCAGCCGCGCCCCATGTTCCCTTTGATGGATCTGGATTATTGCATTTTCCATCGATGGTTCGATAACGAAACGCTTGTGGCGGACAAGCTGGAAATTGATCACATACACGTTCTAACGGTGTACCGTCAATCGGTGCAAGAACATCACCTAATTGAAAATCTTCTTCAGCCACATTTTCTCTGTAAATGTAATCATCAAACATTGTTTACCACCCGATTTTCTACATAATCTCATTCGATTGAATATTTTATAAGAGTAGATAAAGAAAAAAAGCGATTGAAATACGTATATTACCTTTCTTTGAAAATTCGACTGGCAAACACCTGGTGAAGTGCCCGTTGATTTGCATGCTGTGCTTTCATTTCAGATTCTGTGGACGATCTGATTAAGACAAAAAAAACACAACCAAATTAGTTTCTTATTTCCAAATTGAGTGAATAGAACTGGATATTATCGATTCTCGAGTTGCAACGACTTTGAGACAAACAAATACGCACACACGATGTGATGGCTTTTTTTTTCAATCAAATTTCATATCAAATTGAACGATATAAAAATACTTCGTTGTCATATACATGAATTGGCGGTGTGTTTTGCAATGCGTGCGTTTACATCAAATATTCAATCGTTTATTGTTTATTTGATCGAAGCCATTACATTGGAATAAATTGTCACGTAACCAAAACTCTATAACAACAGACCAAACAACATCTTGTTTTGAATAATTCACCAATATCTCTTTTGCGTTGAAAAGCATCTTAATTTTTGGTCATAGCATCCATATTTTTAGCCTTTATTGTTTGTTGTATAGCGACTCGTTGACGAAATATAATATGTAAACATTTGTGGTTTGAATTTTGTTGTGTGAAAATTTTGTCTGGATATTTGCTTGCATAAAATAGCAACAAATAAATTGGTTCAGTCGGAAAGAGACAAAAAAAAAACAACCAGAGTACGTTAGCACCTTGACGGTAAATTAAAGCAAGTGCCACATACACACAGTGTACACATTTTATTTGATTCGTTGGTTTTTTGTTCGTTCAACGACGAAAAAATGCATTTGCATTGTTGTTGCTACTGCCACTGATGCTGTGTACCGCAATTTTTACAGTTAATCAGCAAACGTGAGAGAAGAGGGAGCGTAAGAAATAAAAATCAGAGAGGGATGAATAAATTTAAATAAATGATTTATCGTGAAAACTGAAAATGGAATAAAAATTACAAACGATCTACATTTGATAGCAAAAAAAAAGACATTCAGCTCACATTAAAAATGAATCGGAGTTGGTTAAATTACCACATTTATCTAGCAAATTACATCGAAAAAGGTATATTTCTCACAATTGAGTCAACAAGTAATGGTTCATTTTTCATCATGAAATGGCGACATATTTTTGGCTACGTAAAATTTTTCTGATGAACAGGAAACTCACGCTGGATGCTAGCGCATCATTTCACATGGCATACCACTGCGCAGTTGTGATTTTTTCGGTTTTTTTTTATCCATTTTTATTGCAGAATTCTGATATTTCAATAAACTTACCGAAAGAGAAGATTATGCATAAATTCAGGTTGATCATGTGCATTAACGATGGCAACTTGTGGATCTTCGTCGTTCAAATCGTTGATGTGTTCGCTCGCCTCATTAATTACCGATTTCATTAGCTGGAGTATGTTGTTTGTGACATCCGTCAATGCACTTCGACCATGTACAGCGGTTTTCTTGTCTTTGAAACAAAATGAAATCGAGAAATCAATTAAAATTTCAACACAGATTGAATGACATTTATTTTATATAAAGATTGAACGAAAAAAAATGGAAGATTTTTGTGCAAAACTTACGGTGAGTGGTAAAATTCCGTCCAGTGGTACAGCAAAAACCGTGACCACCATGTGGCAAATCACAAATCTGTGGCTTTTCATGTGCTGACATACGAACGTGTGCCGGACACTGGATACTTGGGACACAGCTAACGCCATGTGGACATGGATCACATTTTTTGAAAAATGTTGGATTAACTGCGGAAAAAATATGATTTTTTTTCAAACAAACCAAATTCAATGTTTTTGGAGACGGTTTTGCGCAGAAAAAAAAATAATTTCTTATGGAAGGCTTACCTAAATTTGGTGTTGGCTGAAATTTCTTATGCTCATTGGTTGCTGCTCTCTGATGTTTTACTGTAAAACCGCATGTTTTCTCAAATGTAAAAATAATTAGAAGAATAACCATTAACCATCGTTCAAATGGTTGTTGAAAGCGACACAACATTTTAACAATGTAATGTTTTTTTTCGGCGATTCCTTTTATTTATTTTGTACTAATTAATTTACTATTAAAAATAGAGTATTTAAGATGAAAAGTGATGCTGAACAATATATTCTACGACGAAGTCGATTTCACCGAGCTAGTGGTTGAGAGCAAAGTGATTAAACTTGCACTTTATAAATCCTCCGGCAAATCGACGCAATTTGTGATTTATCCGTATTCAGAATAATGATGCTTTGAATATGCTATGTATTACCGTTAACCGACGCAACATTTCACCGGCGATGCAAATATTCGAAACACATCCAAGAAGTGTGCATCAAATAAGTATATGTGGATGGAGTTAAATTCCATAAATGGAGTTTATTTCAACCAATTTATACACCGTCTCCATTGATTACGATAACTGGTTATTTTATGTTCGAAAACTGGTGGAACTTTTAAATGCGTAAAATTGTTTTTTTATTTTTAGTGCCATTTTGGACGGTCATTTTGCTGCGTAAAATGTTAAAATATTGATGCGATGATGTAAAAATTTAAAAAATGTTGAATAAATTAAAATCAATATTCGAATATGAATAGTTGCTCAAGTTGTCAATTGAATTGGTTTGACATCAAGCACCGTACGATAAGTAATTCCGTTTTGTGTGCGCAGAGTGTGAGAGGGACATAAAACGAAGGAATGAACAAGATAAATATTCTTGAGTATAAGAGAGTTAAATGATTGAGTGTATTCGATGTAATATTTAACCGATGCGAGCGCCGCAACCGGTAAGCATTCGAAATGTGAATTTGTTGATGGTTCGATGCGCTAACGTTACCACCACTTCATCGTAACATACTCACGCTTGCGCATCGCCACCAAACGAATTGAATTTAGTTGCTTGATGAAATTCAAAGCGTGAATAACGATATTTCTGGATGTCGCTGCAGCTACGATATTCGACATTTGTTTGCAATACACAAGAACTAAACAAACACAACAACAAGTTAAAATACATTCATCTAAAGTGTTTGGTACGGTTAAATTCTATTATATTTAGTTGATACATGTTAAGTTTAAGAAAAATCCAAATCAATTAAAATAAAGTGAGAGGAAAATTAAATAAAATAACCGAAAACCGAATAAAATAGTGAATGACGCCCAGTTTGATTTATTTGATATAGTTTAGGTGAATGTTTGGTGCAAAATTTATTCGTGTGTTAAAGTTTTCAGTTTCTTACTTTTATTTTTTGTCTCTTGTTAAATTTCAATTTAGAGAATTAAAAGGAAAAAAAAACAAATAACCGAAAATATCCGATAAAGATGAAGGAGTTAAAATAATAATAAAAAAAGAGATAGATAATAATTGTAAAAGAGATGAACTGAGTGGATTTCAACAAGAAAAATAGTTCCAAAATCACATTGAAAATTCCATGTACATACACTGACATATACAGCAAAACATATTTACATACCAACAGAGTTGCGCACACATATATAACACACTTGCAACGTCGTAAGTATAGTGATCAGTGAGTAAGAAGAGAACGGCCAATACATAGAAGTAACCAGTCAGACAGAACCGCATCGACACATCGAGGCTGTTGTATACGGAATCGACACAACGCGACCGATCAACAACAACAACAATTGAGTGTGGTATAGTTGTAAACGGCGCGCGATTCCTTCTCTGTCTGTCTTCGAATGTATATGACACCCGAAGCACGGTGCTTGTATTCGTGCTTCGTTCAATTAAAGTGAAGTTATTTAAAAAACATAGTCAGCAATTGTAAAGCAAAAGACATCGACAACGACAACGACGGCGACAGTAACAACAACAACGACACAGAAACATTGCGACCAACCGACAACGACAACGACAGCAACGGTGAAGAAGAAGTAAATATGAAAAAGAATGGTCTAAGCATGAAGTGAAAACAAAGAGAATAAGAGACAAGATTTAAAATGAAACGAGTATGAGTGCGGTGTCCGTGTATATCGGTGCGATCGCAAACAAGCATTTTTAGAGATTTAGAGTGAGAGGGCAATTTAAAGTATGAAGCAATGAAGAAAAAAAGAACATATCAAAAAAGATGAAGAAGAAGAAACAAAGACGAAGAACTTTGTGTTCGTTGTATTTTATGCGTTTTCAAGATTTGAGGTTTTATATATATATATATTTCTTGTCTTCACTTCTTCTGAAAATGTGTGTACATGTGTTTGAGAGGCTGGATACATACAGACTCCGAACTCTGTTGTTCGTTTGCTCTCTCTCGCTTACTCCTGTTGGCATGCCGTGTTTTGAGCCCATTTCTATGTGTATAGACCTTCTATATTTTCTTGGATGAAAAATGAACAAATATTTTCGACGTTAAAATGCCGCGCAACAGTGAGATGTCTATAACCATACATATGTCTGCAATACGCGCACGTATTATTATTATTATTATTACGACTTAACTGGATTTTATTAATTCGTTTTTTGTTTTTTTTTCTTCTTCTTTTTCGTGTTATTGTTGTTGGTAGTTCTGGTGTTTGAAACGCCGTTGCATATTTGGTTGGAGAGGAGAAAAAAAAATTCTGAAAATAAAACACTTTACAAATAAACACAACAACATCACTCAGAAAAAAAAAAATTAGCACGACAGTAACCATCGCACCGTGTCATTATCACTGCCGGTACACATTCTTTATCGATTTGACTCAATAGAAATTCCGATTGTGAATCGAAAACCGTTGAAACAATCAAATCAAAAATATTATTGATGTTAACGTACATAATCTCATTATGTTGCCTCTTCTATGGTTAACGCTACATAAATTGTTGATAATATTCGAATTAGTTGTTGAAGACGAACAGATCGCATGCATTCAACATATTCCATAAAGTTGATTTTGTTCGCATCCAGAACCTCACACATGAAATCGCTCACGGTTTGTTTGTTTGTTTGCTTGCTGTTTATTTGCATGAAATTGAGTATGATTGCGTGTCATACAGTCAGAACACCAATCATTCAAGTGTTATGGCAATTCGCTCTAGAGGTGTCTATCGCAACCGATTGCTGAAAAAAAAGCTGTACAACAAGAATCAACTACAACTATATTTTTTTTTTCTAATGTCCGTTTGATTTTATTCTTTTATCGCATTCGAGATAGATGGAAATTTAATGAAAAAAATAAACGGTGTGTGTACCATAATTTACGACTGAATTACTCACGGTATGGCGTTTTGTGTAAACGACGATGATGGCAAAAAACATTCTTGAATGCGTTATTTGTGTTAGAATGTTGAAAATCCACAATGCTAGAGAGTAATTGAGATTGGCTTCTATTAGATCTAACCGATGCTTTGATTTCTTCAATCACCGTTTATCTAATGTGCAATGCACCATTGCTGTTTCACTGCTGTTTGAATCTCCCCCTCCCTCTCCTACATTGCGTCTTTTGCTTATTTTTTTTTTTTTTATTCAATTAAAAGGCAGGCTCATTTTAATGGTGTGTGCATTCCACTTAGAACACGGCTTCGGTTTTAAGGATTTTTAATAAATATACGATTGCAAACAAGTATGTGATAAAAATATATATCTTCTGATAGTATTGAATCGTGCGTGTGCAACAGTTACTTGTTCACTTCCACCTTGTATATATGACCGGTCCAAGTCGATGACAAGTGCAGAAAAATTAAGTAAATCATTTATGATGAAAAATACGGTTGCGAAAGTATTGCTGCTTTCAAAATATACAAATATATGCAAATTAACGTGTAACGAATTACTTACTGTGGAGAGAGCAAAAAAATAAATAAATAATATTGCTATTATTTGACGATGTCGTCAGAAAAATAAACAGAGAATGGCAACCGAAAAGAAATTGAGCGAATTCAACTCAAATCGATTCGTCTTTAAAAACTGAATCTGTTGGTGAATCACTTAACATTGAATTCTCTTGTGCGAAATGCACGATAAACTTTGTGCACATAATGTGACACAAAGAAAAATGTGCTCACACATCCGAGTGCCAAGTGAATGTTTGAATCTTATTAGAGTGATGACATATTCTGATTTCCTGATTATTGCAATACATTGTATTCAATCGGCGCATTTCTTTTTCAATTTCTTCAAGCAATTTCGTTTGGATGGCTTATGCATAAATGAAAATGCAAAATGGTAATTTATGAAATTAAATTTTATACGATCCAATGGTTCATATCATTTCATTTCTCTCGCATTATTTTATTCTCATTGCAAAAGAATGAATCAGAATGGAAACGATCTAAACATTTCGATAAATCTTCATTGTAATACACAATGTTTTTATGCCAAAATAAAAACGAAACAAAGAACCAAATAAGAAAGGGAAAAAGAAATGCTGAGCCGCGAAAAATCGGTTTTTCAAATTGAAATTGTAAAGTAAATAATCAGACTAAGCACACAGACTTTGAACCGACGACTCTAACATCATTTGAACATTGGACTCACGGCGTGCTTTTTCTTTTTCTCGCCTCTGTTGTGTTGTGTGTTGTTGTCGGTTTTTTTTTCTTCTCGTGCCATTGCATAGTCGTTGGAGTGTTTTTAATAATGCAATTTATTTATTTGTTCGCTGTGCTATTCGTATATGTGATGGTTTTTTTCTCAGTTATACAATGAACATACACAAACACCACACAAAGTCAAATCAGCGCGCCTCGGTAACAAAGCGATTATATGCATGTTAGCACAATTTGTTTGCAGCAAGCGTTTTTCGAGCACATTTAATGTGGAGACATAACTTAAAATAAAATACAAAACATGCAAAAAAAAGAAGATGCATTTTACGTGAATGAATAATACATACCGAGACCGATATACAAAGAACAACAGAAGAAAAAAAAAACCGTACAAATACACAATAAACAAACTGGTAAAGAAACGAATGTGCATAAAGGCATAACGTAAAAGAAGAAGAAGCGACACGAAAAAAACACAAACTAAATATCAACTGAAGAACGAAACAAACGAAAAAAAAAGAGATACACATATATAACCAAGAAGTACGGAGATTTTAAAGAGGAAAAAAAGGCGCGAGCGCGCAATACAATCGTATAGACTCACGTTTGGTTTATTTTAATCAAGCGCACTATCTCATTCAGATGGAATGTACGCGTAATGCACCCAATATCACGAATACACTCAATTTTTGGTCATTGGTATCGTTCACCTTCGTGCCTTCTCACAACGACGTGCATATATCATCGTAAAAATTATAATGTTACAGTCATTGTGATGTTCAGCTGAAAAACGAAACATTTGTTCTTATTCGCTTCGTTCATTCGTATTGTTTTTGTTTTGTTTCTGCTATTCATCGCCTGGAAATATCATTCTCGCTCGCTTGCTCGCTGTTCGTCAATACGATTTGTGTATTTAGATGTTTTTGTTTTTGTGTATAGCCATTTTGTGGCGATTATTTTGGTTCGTTGTGCTGTCATTTAAGTTGACAACATATCTAAAAGCCGACAGCAAGAGGTGCAATAAGAAATGAAGAGAAAACCAATCACGATACGAACATTTGCGAATAAAGTTTCATATTGTTGATGTTGCCGGTCAAAATAAAAATGCCAACTCTTAAAACTGGAATGCCGTACGTTTATTGAAATTGTTCTTGGATGTAAAACATTTTTATTGCTCACTTTTAAAACGATATCTGAATGTAAAATGATTATACGATAGTGTAGTGTTCATGACAATATCTTTGATTTTACGGTGTGTCTTTTTATCTTCTTTGGCTTATATGCATTTACAGCGATTTGTGTGACCATCTCCATCCGTCGATCTCCAGTGTGCGCTATGATCAATGAACATGCACGAACTCGTTGACATGATTTTCAAATTCCGTGCACTTGCCACACCATACGAACAAGCATGACTCACAAACATGCGACTTTTCAATTTAGAAAGCCGTTTTTGCGCGTGTGTGTGTGTGATAGAAAGAGTGTGCGTCGCACAAGCACTGCACCTGTGTAATAGCAAAATCTACATCATTTACACGACCGATATGTTAACATAGTTAAAGAATTTATTTTTATCAAACCACCACTCTGGTTGTACTTATATCGCACACCGATATGACAAGCTATGATAAAATGTAATAAATCGAATTAAAATTCCATTTATAGAAACGTGTATGTATGCTCATTTAACTGAATCACACTCGATTCGATGATATGACTCACAAATCGTTCGCAACGTGCGATCAGTTTCGAAATGATTCTTTGGTGGGGAAACCATTTTCTGTTATTATTGTTACTGTTCTCAATATAAAAAAATAGATATGCTTTTGAAAGGTACACTGATAACAAGAAGATGGGTCACGCATTATTATTTTTTTTTTTCTCTTCAATTTATTGTTGTGTTATTATGAATTTTTTTTATGAAATACCGGAAATTGAACAAAAGGCAAGAGCTCAATTGATAGTCGCAACTATAATTTAAGCGACCGTCGTCAACCAAATTTAATTCAATCCTTTTCAATGGCATTCAA